CGCCACAACGATTCTCTGTACGAACTCCGCCCCCTCGATTTCCGTGAAGACCCTTTGCCACAGGCGCGGCCAGGACGTCACCGAGTGGCCGTACCGCAATCTACAAGTCAGACGTCAGGATATTAAGCAGGTGTCATTGAAAAGGAGACGCCGTGCCGGCCGACTTGGTCGTCGATGTACCCCTCCTCAATGAGTCCCTGATGACGTCCAAAGATGACCGCGCCCGGGGTCCTCTTTAGCAGCGAGCCTAGACGGAGCGCTAGGCCGTACTGCGTCTCCTCGTCGAATAGATGGAACAGCGAGCCGGTGTATATATGCGTCAACGCCCCGCGAAGCTGTGCAAGGTCTGTGACCGAGGTGGGATCGGGCCCGGGGCCCGCACTGTGCGCGGCCGGCTCGACGAGCAGGAGCGGGAGAGGGAAATCAAAGACGTTGGCGGAGAAGAACCGGACGGGGCATGTGTCTGCGTCGCGGTACAGCTCATAGCCCAGTTTGATGAACTCCTCGCGGAGGTCGCACGCGAGGGCGTGCGACGCTGGATAGCCGTCTTGGACGAGTTTGCGGACGTCTGAACCCACTTTTCACCGGGACAGAGAGAACCAATCAGCCCGCAGACTACAAGAATGAGTAGGCCCGGGGGAAACTGGGGAGACTACTCACTGCAACACCCGATGTCAAGGAAGTAAGTATCTCCTTTCTTACCGGCCTCCAGCACGGCGGGATATCTTGGGGTCGACGACATCATCAGCTTCACAAAGAGGAAGCCGCGGATGCATGGGTAGGGGTACTGCGCGCTGCATATGCGCGCATGATGTTAGCATAACCAGAAGGAAGGACTTCCAACGGTCATAATCTCACTACGACCTGTGTGGTCAGGCACCTCCATTAGTACCCATGAATTCAGGATAAATGAAATTTAGGGCTGCCACTCACCGCTTTTGCACGTCCAGGAGACGGGTCTTGAGCTCCTCCTCATTCGCGGATACCGTCGAATGAAGGAACGCGAACTCTGTGTGAGAGAGACTGAGGAACGATGGGTCGAGCTCTGGGGCGGCTACAACGATCTGCTCCGGGTTACCCATGATTCTAAGGTGGATCGCCTGAGCCGTGCAAGAGTGCTGGTCTTCAATATATATGGAAAGCCCAAGTCATATAGCTCTGCGACGTCCGATAGCAACGCAGTTGTTGCAGTCGGAGAGTGGTCTGCGCACCTATTCTAGTCATCAGTATTTGCATAACTATAGTCACCAGTCCGTTGGGGACGGCAGAACTCGTCTAGTTCACAACACTATAGCTGCCGGACATACCAGATCCTTCTACTTGCACCAGTGACTCTCGGTTGAGGAGGCCGGCGACGGGGCTTTACGGTGGCTTGCCACACAAAAACACTCTCGCTTCGAGGCTGCTAGACATCGTGAGGCTGTTTCAACACGTACTAGAAATGGGACACGCGTGTACGTTGGTACGAGCTTCGGATCAACAGAGAGCGGTAACATGTCCTTCCATGAGTCACAAGGAGTGTAGATGCATCGGCATCTGCGGCATCTGCGGTACCAGCACTAACAGCCAGACGAACCCCCCATCCTTCCCCACGGGCTGGGCAGGCCAAGAAACTATCACGCGGGGAGTATGGCGGGGAATCATTATCGCTCCAAGGATGTCCGAGTAGACATAAGTGGCCGTGCACGTAACACCGGAACCTGTACGTGCCTGGCATGATCAGCTACCCCGAAGGCCGTGGGAGGTCGCGAAATGAACATACGACAGAGTGGCGAGACACAATGTAATGGTTTTCTGTTGCGTTAGAACATCGGCGGCCAGTCTACCGCAGTGACGGCGGCCGACTCCTGGCCGCAGTGCACTGCTCAAACGGGCCCGGATGCCTGATGGTATGGTGCAACCTCCATTTTGCTTGGCAACTCCCTAGCTGTCCCACTCCAGATGTCCCTTAGGTATGTCATGAAATATGCAATCACCTGGAGTCTCAGGCTGTGAGTGATGGTGTCAGTTTGAAGACATCAACTCACGCTGTCGAAGACGAAGCGCCAGCCGGTGCTGAGCCATCATACGCGACAGTGTGTCGACGGACTCGTGATCGTGCACAATCGAGCCACGTACAGGTTCGTACTTTGGACGGTGCCTCCCCGGTGGTTGGTAGGTCTGATCAGCATACGTACTACGTGGTCGACGAAGTTGGTTGTGGCAGGCGATGGCCGGAAATGGGCGCCCCGACATCGCACTGCTTCCTCCCATCATCGTCATGCCGAATGTTTAGCGCCTCGAGCTCGCACCAATGATGCGCAGCGTCCCCTCCTGACAGACTTGCGGTGTAGACGAAACCCGCAATGAACCGCAGGCGGCGAGCCATGAACCACCGTAGCCTATTGGCACAAGGGTGTTCTCCGATCAGGCGTGCATCCGATGCCCAACATATTGCAACCGCAGGGACTAGGCCTTCCCTCAGTGTTGTGAATAGAGTATCGCAGGCAATATCCTGCATAACGCCACGCTATCTCCGCCCCCTTCGCTCAGGTACGCAGCTGGAAATATCTACGTCAAGTACGCTCTGGCAGTATGTAGCTTCGCCGGCTGCTTCTCCGAGTCCCGAGTGGATACGACAGCTTGGATGGCGCATTCGCCATACTGCGGCTCCAATTGGGCGACCTTCTCAACAGCTGGGCGATTCTGCCGGAGACATGCTGCCGGACCTTGCACACGACCGACAAACACACCCTGGTGCACCTGCTAATACGATGCCGCCACTCGCACGAACGTGCGCGGCCACCGCGTGCTTGCATCAAAGACTCAGTCGCCGGTGCCTTGGCTTGGGCAACCAAAGGGGAGCGCGGTGGTCGCGTATATAACTATGAGCTGGTGGAGGGCCGTCTCTGCTGGTCCCTTGCGCGCGCAGCCATGAACGGCATCTCTCGTACGTTGGCGGCGCTCGTCCTCATCTCGCAAGCATGGAGCCTATCGGGACGCCCACTAGGCCGACTGTCTTCTCGTGCTGAGCCTGATCCGTCTTTCGCGGTCACCGTCGAGGTGGGAGGGAAAGCCTACGTCAATAAGGTGAGAACTGGCTTGTGCGCAAGATACTGTAGGATACCGACCTTCCTCCCGAGCACAGGGACTCGTCGCCTTTGGACTGATTCCGTCCAACTTCACTGAATCAACTGGTGCGTATGGTTGCTTCACGACACTGACTACGCCATCTGATCTCCGCGAAGGGGATACTTTGGGCGGCATCGGGAGCGCTATCGCGTTGAAACGGGGCTCGTTCAGCCAATCGTCCGATGGGTCGTTCACAGGAACCATTGTCGCTCAACCGGACCGTGGATTTAACGTGTAGGTTTGGTAAATATGTCTTCCACCTTCCCGTCTGACGCTTTCCCCGGCCCGTAGTGATGGTACTATTGACTACCAGGCTCGACAGCATCAGATTGACTTTGTCTTGTCGCCCTATTACGATGACGACAACCTCTCGTTCGATGACGGTTTGGAAACGCTCAAGCTCACCTACCGCGATACTCTCCTCTACACAGAACGCGAATCCCGCAAGACCACTGGTTTGGACGCTCTCGGTGTGCGCCCGGCAGACTCGGACCCCAACTCAAGTATCACCGAAGATCCACCCGTCCCTATCGCACCGGCCAATGGACATATCTCCTTTGACGACGAGGGCCTCGCCCTCAATGCTGACGGAACGTGTGTACCCCTACATCGGTACGTTCTCTTCAATTATGACTGATGTCGCACAGTTTCTGGGTCAGCGACGAATACGGACCCTACATCTATTTGTTGTCGGCCGAAGGGCAACTCATTGAGACCGTGCAACCTCCTGAGGCAATCCTCCCTCTGGTCGACTGCCAGCTCAATTTCACGTCAGCTACAGATCCTGACACCGGACGCAGCGCAAACCAAGGTAACCAGCGTTTTCACCTGCGGCTTGTTGATGTCGGAATTGACTATATGCGCCAGGATTCGAGGGTCTGACGTTGGACGCGTCGGGGCAGACACTCTACGCGCTCCTGCAATCGGCGACAATCCAGGACGGTGGCGACGACAAGACGACTTCCCGGTACACGCGTCTGCTCGCATACAATATCACCGACGCACTGAACGTCCGGCCTACGCTGATCGGCGAGTACGTCGTGCCGCTGCCGCAGAGCAAAAACAAGGGCAAGACACGCGCTGCGAGTGAGCTCCACTTTGTGAGCGAGGGCGTCTTCCTCGTCCTCTCGCGCGACTCGGATGGGCACGGGGGCGACGACGCCAAGTCGTCCTACAAGTGAGTCTCCCGCTTGTGTGCGTCTCACGCGTGTTGCTCATTGACTTCGCAGGCAAGCAGATCTCCTGGACATCAGCCAGGCCACAGACATTCACGGCACGAAGTTTGACGATCCCTCCCACCCGATCGCAAAGAAAGGGAAGCTGGACAAGAGCATTACGCCTGGCACGTACGTGTCCTTCGTCAACTTCATCGACGACACGCAGCTCGCCCGCTTCGGCGTGCACAACGGTACGTGCTCCAGTCACGTTCAGCGATATCAACGAGGTCCGGGCGCTGACCTCGAGCACAGGCAAACCCGTCGACCAGACTCTCATTGATGCAAAGTGGGAGTCCTTGGCCCTCGCGCCCGTCCTCGACCCCGACTTCCCCGACGACTACTTCCTTTTCACAGCGGTAAGTCATGTTGTGTTGGATATTGCGCTTCCTGAGCTCACATCTGAGACAGGCCGATAACGACTATATTACAACGCAAGGCATTGCCCTGGGTCAACCCTACGACGCCGGCTTGGACAATGACAACCAATTCTTGGTCTTCAGGGTCACGCTACCCGGTGCAGCTGTGGATGGTATTGCCAGTTCGTGATGAGGACTCAGTTACTTCTGTGTTATTGACAGCGCTGTCATAAGGTACCGTACACTTCAGTAGTTTCTCTCGCCGCATGGGATGGTGTGGAATTACTTTCGGGGGGGAAAAGAGTAGGACAAAAAATCCTTCGAACCGGGATCGAACCAGTGACCTTGAGATGCGCTGAGACGTAGGGATTAGACCCCACTGATGTAACCAGTTACAGTCTCACGCTCTTCCAACTGAGCTATCGAAGGCTTATCTTTAAGTTTGCTATACTTTATAGGTACTATGCTTTAGAGTTGCACAATCACAACCTCTCTGTTTCGGCCCGATCTCGACCGTGTGTATACTGTGGCCGGGTGTGATAGTCATGGACGCACAGAGCTTGAACGTGAACCACGAGCATGTTCTGGCGCTGGCTCCTTGCGCTATCGTGTGCCGGCCTAACCTACGCTCTTCCATCGTCTGTGGACGAACAGAGTCATCTCGGGCTGCAGCCACCGCGCGGCGTACTGAGACGATATGCCTTCCCAAAATCACAAGGCTTGTCTATCGAAGACGTGCTTCACATCACAGAGGTGAGAGACCCCACATGTATACGATTATTATGAGACATTATGTTGATGATTTGGAGCGTAACAGACATCCGGCGGCCAGGTGTGGCAAGTTGGACCGTCCCACGTTGATGTCTACTTCCAGCCGGGCAATCAACAATTGGACCTGCCCTTCCCGCATGCAGGAACAATTCCCCTCAAACAACTCAAAGATTTACAGCCATTCGGCGTAGGAAGCAACCTGTCCTCGCTCGCAAACTCGACGTACCATGCCGTATACCACCCGCTCTATGAGATCGAAGCCTTCGTGCAAGAGATGGCGCGCACGTACCCGGACATCGTGCAGCTCACCAACATAGGCCACTCAGCTGAGGGAAGGGAGATGATTGCAATGCAAATCTCCAAGCCCGAGGACGAGTTGAAACGCACAGGTAACCCCGCGAGAAAGGCGGGTTTCGTGATTACCGGTGCTCAGCACAGTCGCGAGGTCAGCGCAGACCTTGTAATGGGACTCCCCGCGCCAGCTCATTCATTTGTTCTGTATTGATCAGTGGATAGCAACTTCTACCGCTCTATATCTTGCCCATGCATTGGTCGCGGATGCGACGGAGTCTTTCGCGCTCTCGTCTTGGCTGGATTACTTTGTGAGCATCACTTGAAACTCCACGTACGCGTCATAGGCCACCTGAGCTCCAATTCCTCAGGACTTCTACATAATCGCTGTACCTAACCCTGACGGCTATGCCTATACTTGGGATCATGACCGTCACTGGTATGCGTAACATAGAATAAAAGACAGTGGCATGAAAGCTGACAAACTGAGTAGGTACAAGAATAGGCAGATTGTGGGCCCCGCAGAGAAATGTGTGGGTATTGACATGAACAGGTCAGTCTGTTCTGGGTGATGCTTTCATTTGAAGCCAACGCTGCCCTCTAGGAATTGGGTATGTTCCGATGAGATTGCGAGAGACCAAGAAGTATGGGTTGCCTGACGTCCGCTCCAGGGATTCAAGTGGAAGTCAAAGTCACGGCTTCCTTCCCTCGCGAGTGACATCCAAAACACCAATGAGACGGTCTCCAACCAAGGCGCCGACGCAGACCCGTGCTCGTCGTGGTACCCCGGCCACCGGCCGTTCGAAGCCCCGGAGGTGAACAACATCGCCAACTTCATCACGACGCTCCCCGCGCTCAAGGCGTACGTCGACCTGCGAAGCTACGGGCAAATGCGTGCGTATCTCGTCCGCCATGCCAGGCACCCGCACGCGACTCACAGGGGGCCTACACATGTGCAGTATCAACGCCTTATTCGTACACTTGCAAGAAGGTACCCAAGGATGCGGAAGACCAGCTGGAAGCCGCGCTCGGCGCTGCGAACGCGATCAAGCAGGTCCACGGCACCCCGTTCAGTGTGAGAGCGCATACAACCACTCGCTACCAGGCCCACCACTAATTCCCGTACAGACCGGTAGTTTATGCAGCCAGCTGTACAAGTGCGCATCCCATCGTCTTCCTGTTGACTTCGTTTGCATTCTGATCAGCGCCCCGCTCTCGACAGAGCGTCCGGGAACGTCGTCGACTACATGTATGCCAAGGCGGGCATTAAGTACGCCTACTCCGTCCACCTCCGCGACACCGGCACGGTGAGCATCGCCCTCCCCTCCTTGTCCTTGGCCTCCTCTTACGGTGCTGATTACGCCATCCATCCCTCCACCCACCCATTGCAGTACGGCTTCTCCCTGCCCGCCGAGTGGATCAGGCCCGTGGGCGAGGAGACGGCGAACATGATTCGCTTCCTCGCCAGCTTCGTCTCTGGCCGGAACAAGAAAGGTGCGCGCACTTTCCCCGGTCCCAACACCATCGCCCGACTGTCGCATCTAACGTGTATGCAATACGCCAGTTTGAGCGAAACGCTTCGTCCCTAGTCATGTACCTTGTGTATCTCTCGCCTATTGTCTGTACCAATGAGTGAGCCCAGACGGACCGTGCCAGTGTACGAATATATATGCATACCTCGTCGTCCCTGTCACTGTGCGTGCTGCGGCCCTCGGCCTGTGTGCGACCGCGGTTCCGGGAGAGGGGTGTTGGTATATTGGGAAAACTGTACACCGTGACGATCTATGCGAGGACAGAGCACGTACGAGAGAGAGTAAACGGGGAGAGAGAGAAGAATGAGGATGAGGGTGGGAGGGGGAGAGGGGGAGGATGAGTATATGCGCGAGCTAATAATGCAACAACCGCGGGACCCGAGGCCCGTCCGAACGTCTGTGGAATAAGAGTAGATGCATGCTACATAAGAGAGATAATAACAAGGAGACAGGGAGACCATAAGTGTCGCGCTGCGCGCGGGCGTGCTGGTCGAGTACCGCGCATGAGGTGAGGGGTCGGCCGTCCGGACAGCACACCGCATGCGCGAAGCCGCCCACCTGCGCATATATAGGAGCACCTACATACTGTACGCACGCGCCACACCATAAAAACATCATCATGCATCATACATCGTGCATCAGGGAGAATCATTCACGACTCGCGTCCTAGCGGACCGCGACTGCGCCGCCGCTCGTCGCTCGAGCCGATCTCGGGGTCCATCCGGCCCAGCACCTCCTCCGACGCGATACTGAACCCGCTCCGGACGCTCCCCGTCGACGCCAGCCGCGGACGCACGTACGCGGGAGGCAGCCCTCCGCCCGGCGGCGGCGTCGGCGGCGCGACGTCCAACGGCCCCTCCCTGCGTGCTCCGCCGTAGGAGATGGGGTCGAGTGGGCGCCGGGGGGCACCCTCGGGAACGGCGGTGGACCCGGGCCCTGACCCTGACCCTGTGCGCGAGCTGCCGCTGCCGTCGCGCCGGCGGGTCCCGAGGCCCTGCAGGGACGCCATGAACGCCTCGTTCATCTCGCGCAGGCGCTCGTCCACCGCGGACTCGGTGGTGAGCATCGGATAGGGTGTGGACGTGGTGCGCGCGCGGGGGGCGGGGCCGGGGTCGGGAGGCGGCTCGTGCGCGCTCGACTCGGACACTTCGCGGATCGTCCGCTCGCGCGCGTGTGGCGGCGGTGGAGGTTGTGGTGGTTCGGGCGCGGGAGAGCCCTCGCGTCTACTGGAAAGCGGCTTCCGCGCGTCGATCTCTTGTACGAAAGCAGAGATGTCGTCATCGTAGGTGTGCGTACTGAGGTATGATGTCCCCTAGCACGGCGGTCTTAGTACAATAGCTCATGTTGAGAGCGCGCGTATACTCACTGGTACCTTGTCCAGCTCCTTCGGTACGCCCCTAGGACTACTCCTCGGGCTTGCTTCTCGACTACCTGTAGCCCCTGGTGGCCGCGGTCCAAAGCTGCTCGTGTATCGTCGGCCCTGCTGCCGCGGGGAAGCCTGGAGTCCTGCTGAAGCGGGACTCGCAGGAGTCCCTTCACCCGACGCCGGTGAACGACCCGATCCAAGACTGGACGGTGTGAACGTCGGCGATGGGCGGAATGGCGTGACGGGTGACGATGCCAAGTTGCTTCCGGCGCCTATGGGCGACGGTGGCACACGAGACGACGAAGGTGATTGCATGGGGCGAGCTGGCAGTGATGGCGCTGCCGTGGAGAGCGGTGATTGTTGGCGAAGGGATGGCGAAGGGGAATTCAGCGACGGCGATCCCGAGGATATCGTGGACGACTTGAACGCGTTCACAGACGTTATGGGCGCACGACGTATAGGTACACCGCCAGGAGTCGTACCGTCCAGCTGTGCATGTGCCCGTCAACGGAAGCGCATATAAGCTGCCGAATAGGCCGACGTACCGAAGTTCTGCCCTGCAGACTTTCGCGCCGCACGCGAGCAGCCAAAGCAGACACCTCCTCCCGCGAACCGAGCGAGGCAGCGCCTTGTCGCGAAGACGACGAGTCCGACACACCGGACGTCCCCAGACCTGCGCCCGACAGATTGCGTGTTACTGGGAGGGGGATGTTACCCAGTCGTGGACTGCCGTTCGGGCTTCCTCTCGCGACTTGGGTCGATGAGAACGAGGACGTCCGGTGATGCGTAGCTGGCTGAATGACAAATCTGTCTGCGACGCTGGACCGCGGTGGCGAGCGAGGGAGTGAGGTGCGAAGGGGCAGGCTACCAGGCGAGCCTGTGACGCTGTCCCGTTGTTGGTTCTTCACGAGAGTAGGCGTGAACTCCTGCCCCTCCGAGAGGAAGCGGGAGGACATGAGCGACTCCAGGGTGTCCAGCTGGAAATTGGGCTGCGTGAGGTACGTCGTCGACACAGCGAGCTCGCCCATGGGGTGTGTGATCGGCGGGAACGCATGGCTGTCCCTCTTCAGTACCGTCTCGAGCGCGGGAGGGGTGCTAGCTGGGTTTCGAAGCTGCGTTTAGCCCTCGTTGCTCGCGGGGCCGGGGGAAGGTCCAGCAGGTGACTCACCGAAGCTGAGAACGTCGTCGGTGCGGATGCTCCCATCAACGCCGTCCACCCGCAGCTGTATGCTGAAGTTGCCATTCCGGGCGCCGCCCACCCTGCGCCGGAGGCGCCGCGCGAGTTTCCAGGCGGGGAGGACGCGGAGAAGGGTGAAGATGCTGCGGAAGAGGGGGATGCCGTGCTTGTAGATCGTCGAGGGCGCGACGTCGACGCGGTCGTCGGCGCCATGGGAGCCCGGGCGGTTGGGGCTGAACTCGAGGTTCCAGGATTCGAGGACAATGTGGCGCGGAATGGGATCGATGCGCAC